AGACCATACAATTATGCAACTACCTTTAACAGATACTAGTAACAACACAAGAAATAAAAATATATGTATACTGATATTTGTACAGGTACAACAATTATCACAAAATTTGAGAATACACACACAATTTTGACAATCTTTTTTAACTGAAACTAAGTTATACGTCTCTATTGCAACATTAAATATTTGGAGTATTTCACAATTCAGTCTAGAATTTATTGTCTTAGAAAATGAAAATTTCCATAATAAAATTCTGCAATAAAAATATATATCAGAATCTTTTTGTATGCAAGCAAGTTCATTGTTACACCTAAGAAAGTTATGGATATTCAAATACTATCTTATAAAACATATATTTGCATTCTTACTGCTCAGGTGATAATCTATTAATTAGCTATATAAATATATCTATAATCACCATTTTATTTTTACAACTTTCTTATAATCCAGATAGCTAGCATAATATGTTTGAAATATGCTTCTATATTAGTGAAAATAAATGAATTATTTAAATATTCTTTGAGTAGAAAAATTTAAATTTTTGAGATCTGTAGTCAAATTATATATAGTTATCTATATAAATAGCATACATGTGAAACTAGAACGATTATAGAAATATAGCTACAGATTACTTTAAACCAATATTGAGATAATGAACAATGTGGGTAACTTTCATTTTATTGAAAATATGGATTGTAAGCATTTAATAACATTTGATTATTTTAATTCACATAAACAGCTATTAAAATTGTTAATGAATAATAATTTATAGCATTTATCACCAATTAAAATAAGCAAAACAATTGTCTTTTTTTAATTTATTACAGGAAAGTTATAGATTACATTCTCAGTGTTTGTACAATGTCAATATTCCAATTATTTTGATTTCTTTGCTAGATAAAATTTTGGAAACAAAATTCATTAATATTTGAAGCATCGGTAAAACCTCACAGGCAGTTGAAAATCTAACTTGCATATATATATGGACAGTGAGACAATTAATACTTGCAAGTCTGAAACTAGTAAAAACAACAACACATAGTTTATATTGACATGCTTCAATATATTTCAAAATAATAATCCAGCAAAAAAATTCTAGGTATACTAATACTTTTCCAAAAAATTAATTCAATGGTAATCAAGATATAAATCTAAATTATTCAAATCTCTTTTAATCTGTTATATTACAGTTACAAAAGAAGTAACTCTCATTGACACTCATTAAGATTATACATTTAAAAAACTGCATTCAAAATTAATTTTGTGCAGGACAATGTCAATTTTTTTAAAATAAAAATTTACATATTTATATAATTATGTGCAACTAGTCTTATTTTGATATAGTGTTTAAACTAGTGTACCTTAAATAACCATTAATTCAACCTCACATGATCAATACTATTAAAGAAAAGGTGTGTGTGCATCGGAATAGAGCAAAGTTACAACACATGCTTTAAAGAAGCTATTATACTTGAAATGTGTTAATTGTTAAACTGGTGTCCTACAGGTAAGTTTCAAGTACACAGAATAAAAAGTAGATTCAATAAAATGCTTTTTTAGAGAATAAATTAAACTTGAATAGCAAAGGAATGGAACTCAAGTATTTATTTATTACACTCTAGGAAAGAAAATTTGCCAAACTGGTCAGCTTCACTGTCAGTCATATACTGTACCTGTTGCAGAATAAATGTTTACACAGGCCAAATAATTAGGAAAGGAATAATGGTATATCACATTTAGGTCAGAAAACACTTTTACTGTAGTGTGATATCCCACAATCCTAGATTGCATAAATCAGTGATAATTTTCTTTTCATTTTCATCCTACATATTAAAGGGAAACAAACTATTAGGTCACACAAACTTGTACAAATCTCCATATCTATTTTCAACTTGAATACATCTCATACCCCATGATAGTGCTGGTACAGAAACACATTCAAACAACTATAAGCTTTTATAGTGACCACTGCAGTACGTAATCTTTATCTAAGATAGAGGATTAGTTCAAATTTATAACCTTTCTAACTTTTTTTATAAGAATGCTAACTAACTAAATACGGTTAACCTGAACAAAAATTTGGAATATTTTACATGAAGAATACAAATGCAACAGGTATGTAGGTGGATCTACAAAGATTACTGGTAGGCAACTTGGAATACCTGCTACAAGCAGTGGAATTATTAGAACAACTTCTGATTCAAATAAGAAAAGTACATAGCTTCAAGACATTGATCCAGAAAATTCATTATGAAGCATCCAATAGAATGACACCCAAAGCTGACATTTGTTTATAGTACAAAAATACAGGATACTGTGACAGGAGCTGTAAGCAACTGCAATCCACTCAAAGATAACAGATAGGTCAAATTCAGTCATTTGAAAGGTGTTGCTGTTGTGTTCTAGGAAGAATATTATACCTTAAACCAAGGTAACCAATAAACCTAAAAAAATATAAGCTTATAAAACCTTTCTGGAAGTCTTACAATAACCTGTAGATGGAAGCAGAAGAACAGTACTTGTGTCAATAACAATCGGTCAGCCAAATGAGCTGATAAAATTCAGCTATACAGAATTAACATACAAATACCAGGATATTTTCTGACAGATTAGTAGTCACAGTAAGAAAACAATGTCATATGCACGTTTTCCTTGAAACTACAGCCAATTATTTTTGGTTAAAGGGTAACACTAAGAATAAAAACTGCATTTAAAGATGAAGTTAAAGTGGACTGATACATACAGCAGGTAGTGAGAAATACATGGTAAGAGAAATTAAAGACCAATGCTGCCAGTCAACATTATTCTCGGTCAGGGGTGAAATTCTGCCAGTACTATGAGTACTGGAACTTATTTTTTAAGGAGGTACTAGTGCCAAGACTTATTTGAGTCAGTTTGTTGTTTTTTATGTTTACACATAGATTTTTTTTTCATTCTCAAAAACAGGTCCACTTCACCCAGCTGAGTACCTCTACTTTTTTTGGAGAATTTTCCCCATGTTCTCAGTGTTATGTATGAATACTGAACATTTCTTCCAATTATCTTATAATAAAATATATTAGACTTTACTTAATGATATTATAAAATTATATGGTGCTTTTTTGTTTATTTAAGTTTCAGAAATCCACACACTGTTAACTACATGATTCTTATAGGTTTCTTATGGAGTAGATTTCTAAACTTAGATTTTTAATATATATATATTATAACTAAGATCGTAAATAGAACAAAGATTTAACATTTCAGACTTATTTCTTCAAAATTTAAAATGTTATGATTCA